ACTTTAAATCACAAGCTTCAGCCCATAAATACAGGTGAAAAATGAACCAAAAACAGTAGGAAAAGATAGAAAAGAAATGGTACAAAAGAGTTAGGATGTATACCTCTTAAAGAGGAGTGACCCCTTTGAGTTATAAACCAGTACTTTCACACTCACAAGAGCTAAAATGCAAGCTCAAACACCTTAGCAAAGAACCCTCAAAGTTTTTGATTTAAAATGTCTAAGCAAAGGTCATACAAATTGAAAAGGAAATAGAGAAATGTAAAGAGAGAAATATTTCACAAAATTTTGTTCCATAAAATTTCCTAACCCCAAATTATGAAAGGAGGCAAAGTATATATAGAAAATATTGTTTTTCGGAAATATCAGTATACATACAGCTGGTATGATGCATGCACTTGAGGGAACATGTCACGCCCCGAAAATAAACCCACATAGCTATAACATCAACCCACTCCCAAAATGAGATATTAACCAGTTTCATTTACATAATTCCGAATGTTTACAAAAGTATTCTCACATGCCATTATACATTTGTTTACAACTAGTATATGAGTCTATAACATGTAACAAGAATCATTAAATCACAACGAATAAGGCCCTCAAGGGCTTACAAGTTCCAAGGCAATAGCCCGGTTACACATAATGGTCACTCGGACCCAAACACATTAGCCCTTGGCTTACCAAAAAAAATATAACAACAACATAAGGGTTAAACCACTCTTCTTCAAAACATTTCCACGCCCTTAGCTTGGCGGGGTCACCACATCCTTACCTGCACCAATTCCCATAGGGGTGAGCATAAAGCTCAGTAGAGATTCCTCACAAAGTATATACAGTTATGCAAAATCCATCAACGTAAAAAAAAATGCATATGAAATGCCATGCAAGTGCCAATATTGAAGGAAAATTTTATTTCAATGCACTATTTTAAAATCATCATGTTCTCAATAATATTCAATGCGACATTTTAAAGTCACCATGTTCTCAATAATATGTAGCAATCTCATTAATTTCAAACTTCCAATATTTAAATCAACAGGGGCAGTAAATACGACACTGGTAATTCCTAGGCTGGTGTCTGCAAGTAGTCTCTACGAGCACTACCAAACTGTCATTTTTATCGGTGTTAACTAGAAGGCTCGACACCTATCCGCGTGGTTTTCGGGTCTTTCACCCTGGACACTCAGGCCAACTTATCAAATTCATCTACACCCCCTATCCGGACTTACCGACGTATTTACCCAATACACATTTCCATTAGTTCTCATTACAATGATCTTTTTCATGACATGATATGCAAAAATGACTTTAAAACAATTGAGAATATGATACAACAATTACTAACTCATAGCATTCTTTTATTTTCAACAAAAGAAACATGTCTACAACCATATTCAACATCACATTTTCATTTCCTCCTTACCATGTTCTTCCACAAGATACCCATGCGTCTCTAACGCATAATTACACTGTCTCATTTCACACAATAGCCATGTGTCTTCGACACACCACAACAATTCCTCAACATTAATTCATCATGACCAAACTTTCAATATGGCCAACATGCCATCATTCATTTCCCTTTTCCATTACACTACGATTAAACATTTTCGCATCACTTATGGCACTCAACAACTTGCCATCTACCACTTTACAAAAATGTACAATTATCAATGAGTTTTAAAAGAGGACTTAGTCTCCAACACATAGATATATCATGACTTTGCTATCTTATTAAACTTTTGGTGAGGCTTAGTCTCATACATGCTCTTGATACAAGAAAATATATAATTTCAAAGGCGCATTCATTATTTTTGAAAGCCCCAATTTCTAGGGTTTTCATAGGAATTAAACTTTTATCATTTTTAAAGAAAAGCTCCATCTAGTAATTTTCTTTGAGTTTAGTAGAGGGAAACCCTCAAGATAAAAGAAAAAGGTTGAGATATAAACCCACATTCGAAAACCCTCTCTACATTTTGAATCAAAATCAAATAAAATCAACACAAACTCATGAACACTTTAAATCAACAACAAATAGCAAAACTATATATATAACTCAAGAAATGCCTACCTCAAGGTGTTGATGATGGAGAGAAGATGGAACCCTAGCTTTTAATGGAAGAGTCCTTTAACCTCTACCACACCATGAGAGATCCTAGCTCTAGATCTTCAAGATTTAGAGGAAGATGTTGATGATCTTGACTCAAGATTTGCACAATCAAAGTGTTTTGGTGTTTTGGAGAAGTTTTCTAGAGAGAAGGGGGAGAGAAATAGGGTTTAGAGTGAGAGAGGAGTGTGTATAATGGATGAAATATTCGGACCAAAATGTTATATAAAAACAGAGCTCGGATTGCCAGTTTGGCCGTTCGTGCGGCCTTCCTTGCTACTCGTGCGGCCACCTTGACCGCTCGTGCGGCCCATTTTCTCCGCTCGTACGCTCTAGACAGAATCGAAATTTCTGGGTGTCAAACTTGGCCGCTCGTGCGGCCCCTCCCACCGCTCGTGCAGTACAATACCGCACTTGCGGCCTTGGGCCCCGCACTTGCGGTCCTGGCCCAGCAGCTTAAACTTCCAACTTTGTCCCCGGCAACACGGAATCACCCGCGCACCCTCCGGAATAACCGAAATTTAACAACAAACGACCTGCCACTAAAAAGGGGCAATTGTACACTAATAGTGGGTTTACAGGCCCCTGGATTGGTCAGGCTTGAAAAATTGCTGTTTTGGTCCCCCCCCCAAAAAAAAAGAGACAGAAGGTTTGTTTGTTTTTAAGGCTCAAAACTAAGGCTTTCTGCTGAGGAAATCGAGCATTTGACAAGCATATGAATTCATCATTGGGTGATCAAATCGGTGGCGCCCAAGTCTTAAGGGCGATAAAAAATGCGGTGTCTACACTAGACTAAGCTCTTATCTTCTCGAACCTACTCATCTAGGCCGAGATCTTGTCTTCTGAGATCTGCTCACTTAGGCTGAGCTCTTGTCTTCTCGAGTTTAATAATCTAGGGCGAGATCTTGTCTTCTAGATCTGGAATCTGCTCATTTAGGTTGAGCTCTTGTCTTTTCGGACCTAATCATCTAGGTCGAGATCTTGTCGTCTGGACCTAGGATATGCCCACTTAGGTTGAGCTCTTGTCTTCTCGAACCTAATCATCTAGGTTGAGATCTTATCTTCTAGGATTTGGGATCTGTTCACTTAGGCTGAGCTCTTGTCTTCTCGGACCTACTAATCTAGGCTAAGATCTTGTCTTCTGGGATCTAGGATCTGCTCACTTAGGCTGAGTTCTTGTCTTCTCGGACCTAATCATCTAGGCCAAGACCTTGTCTTCTGGAATTTGGGATCTGCTCACTCAGGTTGAGCTCTTGTCTTCTCAGACCTAATCATCTAGGCCGAGATCTTATCTTTTGAAATCTGGGATCCGGGATCTGCTCACTTAGACTGAACTCTTGGCTTCTCGGATTTACTCATCAAGGCCGAGATCTTGTCTTCTAAGATCTGAGATCTGCTCACTTAGGTTAAGCTCATGTCTTCTGGGAACTAGTTTTGGCTGCTAGTGTCAGTGTGTCCTGTAATGGAGATACTGGCTGCATCACGTTGTTGTACATCATGAAGTTAACCACTGTCTATAAATCTATCAACTTATTCACCATGTTTTTCAATTCCTCGTCTCTTCTATGGCATCTGTCCCTCCAAACCTCAAGGTCGCTTTTATGGTAGTACTCGTCTCAGCTACCCTTGTTGTTCCCTTCTCGACCTTTGGCGACATTATTCGCCTTATGATTCATTTCTTGCACTTTTTCGTTACGGTTCCCTCATTTAGTGTTAAGATACACATGCTTCTCCTCCTCATTATGGATGTTGTCCCCAATTCTCACTTCTTGTTCATTATTAGCCATCTATCCTTATTAAGTTCCCATAGACGGCGCCAAATTGTGGGTGTTGATTTCTGACCACACAACCAAAAAGGGGAACTCAGTTGGAGAGTACCGGCAAAATAGATTAAGCTCGAACATCTGCTAACAAGAAGATGAGAATACTGCGGTGGTTTGTCCACTTGGGGGCACTCCGACGATCAAGTCAGTAAATCTTATCTCTCAAAGATATCAATACAAGTACTTAAACTTCAACAATGAAAGCATCAAATCATCACAAATAAAAACAAACCTTAGACCCATGAGGGTGCTTGACTTTTATAATGATCAGTGTCTAACTTTCCCTAAAAGTCTTACTTCATGGGACTCTATCATTTACAAGGATAACATTTATCACAACTCACACTATGTAGATTAAGATGAACTTCTTCAAGAGTCTCATCTCATCTCTAAGACTCTAGTCCTTTATCCAAATATCTCGGATTCTGGTATTATCGCACCATATCTCGGTACCATGATCCCCCCACGTGGCACCTCTACTAACAACCTCGGCCATGTGGACTACCCAAAAAATATGTCTCCACAAATACCATTAGACCATTTTTATCTATACGGCCTACATATTTTTGAGAATAGACCGTCCATATAGTATAATATATATGTAATTTGTTCATGTGATTACTTATATGTAATCAACCCAATTTTTGCTTGCATATTCTTCTCGACTTGTCATATAAGATGAATGGTTCAAATTATTAACATTGATACAAATTAGTTCCATAATGCATCAACTTCACCCATAAAATTAAGATCTTCAACTTTAACAAATCCAAATTAACACTACAAAGAATTAGCCTTTTAGAGACCAATATTTAAGGATTAATTAAATTTGGTCGCTAAAAATAATCTTTTAGGGACAATTTTAAAAGCATGATAGTTTACATATAAGATTGTAAGAATGACTATTAATATTTTCACTTAATATTTACATAATTTTTTTAGACCAATAAATTTAGTTGCTAATATGTTGTTAATATCTTTAGGGACCAAATATTTCTGTCATTGTCCATTAAAAACATTTTGGGAGGAAATATTTTTATCATTTTAACGATTAAAAAGTCGGGGCCACACTTCAATCACCACTTGCTCATTCCCTCCTCTTCAATGGGTTGCTCAATCTTCAGCCCTAAAGTTGAGAGCTCCAAGGCAGATTGGGAGCTCATCGTCTTCAAATTTTGGTGCCTCTCTCTCGCTGTAATCGATCTCCGTAATCAACCTGTAAGAGCTCCAATTCGAACTTTCAATTTCTTATCGTAATCGATCTCCGTAATCGACCTGTAAGAGCTCCAATTCGAACTTTCAATTTCTTATCGTAATCGATCTCCGTAATCGACCTGTAAGAGCTCCAATTCGAACTTTCAATTTCTTATCGTAATCGATCTCCGTAATCGACCTGTAAGAGCTCCAATTCGAACTTTCAATTTCTTATCGTAATCGATCTCCGTAATCGACCTGTAAGAGCTCCAATTCGAACTTTCAATTTCTTATCGTAATCGATCTCCGTAATCGACCTGTAAGAGCTCCAATTCGAACTTTCAATTTCTTATCGTAATCGATCTCCGTAATCGACCTGTAAGAGCTCCAATTCGAACTTTCAATTTCTTATCGTAATCGATCTCCGTAATCGACCTGTAAGAGCTCCAATTCGAACTTTCAATTTCTTATCGTAATCGATCTCCGTAATCGACCTGTAAGAGCTCCAATTCGAACTTTCAATTTCTTATCGTAATCGATCTCCGTAATCGACCTGTAAGAGCTCCAATTCGAACTTTCAATTTCTTATCGTAATCGATCTCCGTAATCGACCTGTAAGAGCTCCAATTCGAACTTTCAATTTCTTATCGTAATCGATCTCCGTAATCGACCTGTAAGAGCTCCAATTCGAACTTTCAATTTCTTATCGTAATCGATCTCCGTAATCGACCTGTAAGAGCTCCAATTCGAACTTTCAATTTCTTATCGTAATCGATCTCCGTAATCGACCTGTAAGAGCTCCAATTCGAACTTTCAATTTCTTATCGTAATCGATCTCCGTAATCGACCTGTAAGAGCTCCAATTCGAACTTTCAATTTCTTATCGTAATCGATCTCCGTAATCGACCTGTAAGAGCTCCAATTCGAACTTTCAATTTCTTATTATTTCATAGATTGAACTTTTAATTTATTGTTTCAGTGAGTTTTCAGGTGTTACACTGTCATTTTCTATTTTTTGATTTTCAATTTCTGACTGTTACATAGATTGAACTTGTGTGTGTATATATATATGGCCTTCTTCTCTGTTTTCTCTCACTAAGAATAAGAATGATGAATGAATCATCTCTCACTGGGCCATATGTATGTAGTATTGCTATCAAACTCTTGAGATTTTAATGACAATAACTTGCCTACTACTCAACTAATGGCGGTAGTAGTAGGAATGACGATTTTTAAACTTCTAACAATTGATCTTAAACATTAGGAATGACAATTTTTAAACTTTCCCCTCTTGCGAATCACAAGAGTTAATGTCCATGCTAGTTTCACCTCCCTTTTCCAATTTTTGGTTATTCATAAATTTCTCATTTACGTATTCTTGTTTTTTTTTTGGGCTGCTTACAGGATAAAGATGTGTCTAGTGAGATATAGAACATTAGAATCGTATATGTTTCTGTTGTTATTTTTCAAGCCTCTTAGTATTGCTTTTGAGACATTACAAGTACTTTTATTGGGAAGTCTTTTCATTTTCATAATGGATAGATCTATCTATAGATCATGTAACATTTTTCCCGTAGAACATATAATAAACACAGGCTGAAGGTTCTTTAGTCTGCAAATTGTTTTTTGTAGGCTATTTTGATTCATAGTTTTCAATTGCTCAATATATGGTTCCATGATTCGGCAGGGAACAACACAAATTGCCAAAGGTCCAAACTCCTTGATATATCAATAGCAGGTTGTTTGCAAACTTTTTTTATGTAGCCATGTTATTTTGTTGTTGTGTTACCAAGTGGTTGGGGGTTCTCATGTTTTCTGGTCCCGTTATTCACTTTTTCCTTATTTGCTTATAGCTCCCAAATTTTTTTGTGATGCATTTATTTTGTTGTTTTCTTTCTTTTATAGATGTTGAGTACTGTATATTCATATACAAGCATCTTTTCCTCCCGAATCAAAAGACTTAAATCTTCGGGGTTAACACGCTTCATTAAGTCAGTGTACAGACCAAAGACAATTTTTTATATATAAAAATAATAATAAATAAAAATCTCTTTGGCGAGGGCACACAGGACAGGGCAGTTCATCTCAAACCTTTTGCACCATCTCTTCTCCAATAATCCATCGGGTTAACTGGCTTGGATCCTCAGGCAAAATTTTACAAGTCTTGGGAACAATCCCGAGATCAGAACCAATTAGGTCATATTCCTTGAGTGCTGCTTCCATCTCTGCTGCTACAGCAGTGCCATCATCCATGCTGCCATCAATGGTGCCCATATGAAGAAGATCGGCATAGTACTTCTCTTTCTCAGCATCATGTTCAAAGGGTTCAATTGCAGGGCCCTGCATGTTCCATCAATTTACAAGAGGAAAAAGTTGACACTATTGTAAGAGAAAAATGACTTGCAACATACATCTTCAGGGAAGCAGGGAAAAATGACCTTGTGGGTTTTTATTATGGAATCTTCTTTTTGATTTACACAAAATATATAATACATAATAGCTAAATAATTTCCATGTCATAGAAGAAGCATATCTGACTTGGCTGGCAATCTCTTGAAGAAATTGACAGGCATTGATGGCAGCTTGCTTCTGAACCAGGCACTGATGGTAATATGCTTTGAAAGGGTTGATTATGATAATATGCTTGGATTATGATAACCTTATTGTATTGATTCTAGGTGACTCATTTTCTTGTTGTGTTGATTCTTATTATAGCTCACTACTACTACAAGTACACTGAGATAATTTGTTTTTTCATTATTTGTAATTTATTTGATTATGAATGCCTATTGATTATTTAATGAGTTTATGTTGTGTTGATTCTTATTATTTGATTCTTCTTTTTGAATTTTGGGTTGCAGGGATGTCCAAAGGGTGTCACACCTAAGTACAACTTGAAGCCTCTTGTGCCAATGCTGTTTGATATAAAACATGACATTGATGTTGAGGAAATGCTTTTTTAGATATTCTCTTTGAAGAAACTGTTGTTATTTTTCATTTGAACGGTTACTACTTTGATTTGAATTTGGAAACTTTCAGTTTTAATTTTTGTAAAATTTTACTTTTTATATACTCATTGTGGTTTGGGAATAAAATGTTTTTGATGTGTGGATGTCAATTTTTTTTAATTTGATTGGATGGCATTTAATTTTGTGCATTTTTAGCTATAAAATTAAATGATTACAAAATTCTTAACTTTGATTTTTAGCGACGAAAATGTATTGTAGAGAAAGTTATATCTTTTAGCGACCAAATATCATTGTCGTTAAAAATACCATTATTTTGTTTTTCGCGACCAAATTGGGACATTTTACGACGAAGTATTAGCGACCAAATGTTTAGTCTTGTAAAATTAAATATTTTGTAACAGTATAAACTTGGTCGCTAATTGTCATTTTTAGTGACATTTTCAAAAATTCGTCGCTAAAGACTTTTCTAGACGCACTATTAGTGACTTTTTTAGTGACAAAATTAATTTTGTCAGAAAAATCATTTAGAGACCAAAATAGTAGTTTTAGGGACCAAAATATTTGGTCGCCAAAAATCTTATTTGTTGTAGTGATTCATGGTACACACACTACAGGAAATGAGGGATTTAACGGCGTTTAATTAACGACGTTTTATTAAACGTCACGTTTTTTAATTTTTAACGGCGTTTTTATAATCGCCGTATATTTTTTTAACCAAAACGGCACCGTTTTGTAATGGAAGGCGTTTAGAAACGCCTCCGAATGCGGTGCATACACGCGCCCCTTTTGAAACCCTTATTCATGAATCTGTGCCCTTTCTCTCTCTTATAGCCACACATCTCTCTTATCTTATACGCACACATATCTCTCTCTCTCAGCGACGAAGAAGACGAAGGAGAGTACTCTAGGAAGAAACTTCATCTCTCGAAAGATCAATCGGCTGTTCTTGAAGAGAGCTTCAAAGAACACAAGCTCCATCGGCTGTTCAAAGCGATTTCGAAGCGATTTCGAAGATTCAGATCGATATCAATCGGCTGTTCAGAGCGATTTCGAAGCGATTTCGAAGATTCAGAGCGGCATGTGCGTTGCTGAACTTGTCGTTGATCGACGAGAACAAGATTTCGATCGGAGCTTGCGGAGCGATTCCGCCCTTGATAACGCTGTTGATGAATGGATCGAATAGGGGGAAGAAGGACGCGATGACGACGCTGTACAAGCTGTGTACGGTGAAGGTGAACAAGGAGAGGGCGGTGAAGGGAGGGGCGGTGATGGGGCTGGTGGCGGCGGAGTAGATGGCGGAGTTTTGGTGACAGTTTTTCCCTTCAAACAAAATCTAAACTGTCTTGACATCAATTTATTTGAAAATCAAGTGACAGAAAGCTCGAATATGAAGGTTTTTGAGTTCACATTATTTACTTCTCTGTTATTAGAATGGTGATAATTTGTATTTTAACTTCATTTGAAAAAAAAAGTATATATTTTTTAATTCTATTATGAGGATAATTTTTAGATACACAGAATGATCAATTAAAAATGTATACATGTTCCATTTCTTGTTAATTTTTTTTTTGTGTGGAATTTTCATGACCTATTTGTTATTCACCTCTAACTAAGTTGGTCATGAAATTAAGGTCATCTTGTAGATTCCAAGAGCTATATGACCCATGTCCCTCCCTCCTCCCGCATCTCCTTTTGATTATTTCTCTTTTGCCAAGACCTCTATGGATAAAAATCTGATATACAGGGGAAACACTAGGGTATATATATATATATATATACATGGATTTGAAATGAATGGATTTGATATCACTCATTCAAGGAGTATAACGTTTAGTTCAATGTAATATTCTAGGTATGGATTTCAACAATGGATTTGAGAGTTTTAGATTAATGGATTTGAAATATCTGAGTGAATATGGTTATTTGAAATCCTTTAATGAATGATTGTACTTGTAAAATTTATTAACAAAAGTCATCTTTCCTATCTCTATGCATCCTTCACATTAGAATTATCAATCTATATCCATTAATCAACTTTCTTATAATTTTATAAAGTTGAACATCAAATCCCTTCATTTCAAATCCACATATCCAATTGGAGCCTAAATGTTGCTGATCAAAACAAAAACAAAAAAAAAGAGGAAAAAGTTAACTTTAGGCAGGAAGCTTATTTGGGCGCAAGTCAAACCTTAGTAATCCATCACTGCTCAATCTTGGCTTTTGCGTAGTTCTTCACTGGTCTCCTTCTTTCTGAGCATAACCTTTTTGTTTCCAAGCTGGGTTTAATGGTATTGTATGGTCTGCTTCATTCTGAGGAAAAATGTGTCTTCTGCACAAGTAATATCCTGATTAGTGTCTATTAAAAGTAGCTAGATTCTGGCAATCTTCATCAAAACTGTCAAACTCCCTATTCAGTTGTTTATTGCACATAGAAATTGTCAAACTCCCTATTTATTATTTGTTTATCTTCTCTCTGTGTTTTGGATGTTTTGCACTAGGTTTGCTTTGATCTAAATCCTCTTGCATTGGTGTAGTAGTATGGATCTAGATTCACACACACATTCAGATACACAAAACATCGAGTTAGGTTTTTTGTACTGTGGTTGGTTGATTTTCCCAACAGCAGACGACTACTCCATAAGCCTTGGAGCTGCTGCAACCATTTGCGGTGTTGTGATTGGGGGAATGGCAGTTGCACAGGTGTTTTCTTCAATATACTTCAGTGTGTGGGCAAATAAATCGTACTTCAGACCTTTTGTATTTAGTAGTATTGTTCTTCTTGTGGGGAACACCTGATATGCCTTGGCTTATGATCTTGACTCCATATTTGTTCTTCTAATTGGCCGCCTATGTTGTGGGTAGGTGATCATATTCTCATTCTCTTTCTCCTTCTTTCATTTGTTAAAATATTTGAAAGTTTGTGTATTATTTTACTTAACAAGTCTGCTTAAATCCTATTGTAGACCATTTTGCATTCTTCTTTTTTTTTTTCCCTTGAAATTTTTGTATGCTCAAACTCGTTGCACAATATCTTACAATGCTTTCGCCACAATAACTATACTAACTTAGTCAACTGATTAGTAAATAATTTAATTTATATTTAGTTACAAATGTTGCCTTAGCATAATTTGAGATCTGAAGAAAGATTCAGTACATTTTCATATTTTGTTGTATTCAATAAATTTTTGAAAGATTTTTGCACAGATATCGTACTTCTTAAGTGAATCTAAAAACTAAAAAAATTTGATTAAAATGATAAAAAAAATTCACTGAAAACAAAAACATACAGATTGAAAACTCAAAAAACTATTTTTGAAAACTCAAAACCAAACAGAGTGAATATATTCTCTGGGTAAGATTGCATCAAGCTAATATGTTTAGCTCATACCTTATCGGATTAAGTCTTGACTCATTGAAATTTTTTCATTTTATAATGATATATTTTATATGAAAATATTATTCATGTTCATTTGTTTACATAACAAATCAACAATGCTATGTTTATCAATCTTGCAGGTTGGGTTCTGCCAGAGCTGTTAACAGGCGTTATATCAGCGATTGTGAACCTCTTAAAATGCGAATGCAGGCTTCTGCAGGTTTTGTTAGTGCCAGTGCCCTTGGAATGGCATGTGGTCCTGCTCTCGCTTGCTTACTCCAAACGCAATTTAAGCTCTTCAATATTACATTTAACGAAAACACTTTGCCCGGATGGGTTATGGCTCTGGCATGGCTCATCTACTTACTGTGGTTGTGGATTTCATTCAGAGAGCCATCTTCTTATGAGGCTGAAGATAGTGTTGCATCACAGGACGCGAAAACTGGTATGGTAATTGGATTGGTCATTTTGGACCCCACACACTGCATTGCGGTATGTCTATTAATATTTTTGATGATTCAGCTTATGCTATGCTGTTTTCAAACTTTGAGAGCATCTTTATCATATGCATTACTCAGTTGAACTAAGGTGCATCTTAAGGCAGGGCATATTTGAGAGCATTTTTATTTAATGGAAAAAGAACAATGATGTCAAGCCTTATACTGCAAATTTAATGCAAATTTAACTATTTTGAAATTTCAGTTTGATGTAAAAGCTCCTTGCTCTCATTCTTTATTTTGAGTATAATTGTATGCATTGTTGTTTGTCCCTATATACGATGAGCATATATAATTTTATTTTACCATTCTCTGTTCTTATTTTGGCCTTTTTCATATCAAAGCTATCCCACTTATAGATTGTGTTCAAATTTTTTCGAACTTCATATATGTTAAAAGTTCTATATCTCAAAATTCAGCAGGTTGACCAAACAGTAGTTTCCAGATGTTGAGAATGAGGGTGCTTCCAAATGTTGTGTTGAGCGCTAGTCCTGTTCAATACGTAAGTGTGTTATTTTTTCACGTTAATATAATTAATAGGATGGTTAAAGTGATAGTCCATTAAATTACCATTATAGTTTGTTGCTTTTAATCTTATTCCAATCACAATTGGAAATTGACTTGGCATGTTGGAAATTGCAGTTCCCTTGTTTGGCTCGAATTGCTCCCACAATGTCAATATTATATGTTTAATGCTGCAAGTAAGATTTGTTAGAGTTTGAATAGAATACTGTAATGATTTGTGAATGAGTTGGTTTGGGGCTTACTCTTTATCTATGATAACAGCCTCTTGCAAGAAAGACTCAGTGCAAGCATTATCGTGGACACTTTTAACTTTGATTTTGCAAGTTGGTGCAACTTGTAGGACCACAAATAACACATCTGCAAGTAATAACAGTACAGTCACTACAGGAAAATGGGGATTTGATGGCGTTTTGTTAACGACGTTTCTGTAAACGTCACTGTTATTAGTATTTAACGGCGTTTTATAAACGCCGCATATTCTATTAAGAAAAACGACACCGTTTTATAATGGAAACGCCTCCGAATGTGGTAAACTACACGCGCCCTTTTAGTGAAAACCTTATGTTGAATCAGAGCCTTAATACATACGCACAGATCTCTCAACCCTTGATACATAGGCACAGATTGACATGCTGACATGGCGATAAAACTTGTAATGCCAAAAAACTGTATACCTTCCAATGTATCTTAGGGACTTTGGTGATGAACCATCCTTAGGGAACTTGCTATTTTCAACATACCTGAAATTAAATGAATATAAGAAAATTTATTAGCCTTTTAAAGGTAATAGAAAGATGACAATTGCCAAATTTAGCTACATTTACTTTGTGGTTGGTTCATCCCAATACTGGGCATTTCCTTCATTTGTTGAATAGATCTTTCCTTTCTTTGGAACCTGTTCGTAGATGCAGTAATGAAGCATGATTAATGGATCACACAGGCGAAGCACAGAGGACAGACCTAATGACGATTACTAGACATGTTCTTAATGAGCAGTCGAAGCACCCTGAAGCTCACGGCGACTTCACAATCTTGCAGGATGAAGCCTTCACATCTGTTTCATTTGCCCTATGAGGCAAAGTGAGAATGTCTCCCAGCATCTTATCAATTCATGGTGTGGCTCTTCCCTATGAGGCTGGTGAAATCGATTTCGGTGAACCAGGAACAAATGGTCAGCATAGCTTTTACCAATTAATTCACCAGGTAATTTTCATGCTCTGTTTTATATATAGTACTCCAGTTGCCAATAAGTAAATGTTCTTACAGATAATGACCATATAAATAGTAAATTCATGCATGAACTAGTTACGTCTGATGCTTCTTGAAGTGTAAAAATATTTCTTATTTGAGGCTGCTAATGAGTGGTTCAATAATGTTATTTTTCTTTTTCTGTAGAGTAGTGTGTATAGCATGACACTTGACCTTTTAATAAGAGGTTTTCAAGAATTTCAAATTAGTCTTATATTATTGTCTTTAGCACATTTAGCTGTTTGAAGTTCCAAGAGGTCTATTGAGATTATATCGTAAGTGCATATCTAGAATCTCTATGACTGGGTATCCAACACATGCAGATGTTGGTTCTGGTCTTGGTGCATATCTGGTGTCTTCTTGCTAACTCTAAGTGGTCAACGTATCTGCCTATGTGATCTAATCCCACAAATCTTGATCTGTCTTCCTCAGTTGCTGGCATTCTATGAACACAGAATTGCTGTTGAAGGCTTCATTTGGGGTATCAACTCCTTTGACCAGTGGGGAGTTGAGTTAGGAAAGGTATGTGTTACTTAAAGACTACGATAGATCACATCTGTTTCATTTTTCAGGGTGAAGAACAGAAGAAATTGGATGTACTGTCAAATGATGTTTTTGTCAAGGCTTTGATAAGCAGTGGATGCACTGTGAGTTTTTAATTTCATTTGCTTTCTTCTTTCTATATCATCTTTAAGATTGGATTATTGCCTTGTTGGTGCTCAAAGAAAAGCCCCAATTGGTTGGGGCTGATGAGAATCTATATTATTCACAAACACCAATAGAATCCCATACAAACCAAAGAAGGCAATTCGAAAGCTCCCTAGAGTCCAACATCTCTATGCCCCGATTGACGGGGAGGTTGAGAAGTGAAGATGATGAGGTAAAGTTCAACATGTCAAGTAAGTAAGTTTAGCTTTTATTTTAATAAATAAGATTTCCAGTTCAGAATTTATCTGTACCGTCTTCTGTATCGGAAACCTGTTACGTAACCATCTAAAAAAGAGCTATAACGGCGTTTTTTCAAAACGCCACTACAGTGCCAACGGACATTTTTTTAAAATAAAAAAATCTATCACGGCGTTTTAAAAACGTCGCTAAATATTGGATGACGTCATTTTATCATTATTTATCGCATTTAGCGGCGTTTTTAAAAACGCCGCCTATACTAATTTTACGACGTTTTTAAAGCGTCATAAACTTATAGCGACGGCCGCGTCCTCGACGTTTGGTGATAAGCGTCACTAAAGGAATTAGCGGCGTTTTTCATACATATAGCGGCGTTTTTAAAACGCCGCTAAAAGTCCTTTTTCCAGCAGTGACACTCTCAAAGGTACCATAACATTTCCGTATATTCTATTATTAGTGTTCACATAATTTTTTTTAAGATTCTCTACTTCTTTGGACCCTATCACATATTAATTTCAAATTTTATAAAAAAAAATTTAAACAACTCACTTATCCAAATTAACCATCACTATTAAAATTTAATCTTACCCAGTCACCATCAACTTTAACAATCCTCCCTAACTCCTACTGCCACGCTCAACCCCTTTCTATATGGTAGTGAAATCGAGAGATAGACACAGAAAAATCATGAAGGTGGGGTAAACTATTAGCACATCTAGGCAAAAAATTGACTATAAAGCAAATAAGGCAAATTACACCGATGGTTTATATTTTTAATTGATTTGATTTTACTCTTAATTTTAAATTTTACGTCAATTTAGTTTAATTGATAATATCGTTAATATTTTTTAAGAAAATTTTGATTAAGGTTAACCCATTGAATTGAGTAAATTTGTAATTTTGTTCTTAAACATATGGCACATGACACTTGCGTGTATATTTTTCACAAAAAAAAAAAAACAAAAACAAAAACAAAACAAAACAAAACAAAAAAAAAAACAAAAACAAAATTAAGAATTGTAATCAATTAGACCAAATTGAGATAAAATCGTAAATTCAATATTAAAATCGAGCCAATTGAAATTAGAGTGACTAAAATAACACAAGGACCAAAGCACATGGACTGCCGTCATAATTTGTCCAAGCAAATATTTTGATCTTTAAAAAAACATAAAATTATCCATTTTTTTCGATAAATATAATCTGATTATGTAACTATATGTCTGAACACATATTTCATGTAGGAATAAAAATAATAATAAAAAAAATCTATTTTTAAGTAGGGAAATAAAGCCTTGTTTGGAAACAGGCCTTTTTAGTAACTTTTGGACTTTTTAACTAAAATATGATGTAAGATAAATTTTTGATTTTTTACAAAAAAAAATGTGTAAAAAGTAAAGAGAAAATAGAATCTTTGACTTTTTTGTATAAATTGTTGATTTCTTAATTTTTTTAGTGACTTTTTAATTTTTTGACCACAATCATCACTTACCAAACGGGGCTAAGAATCAAAATTCATTTAGTAATTCTTGATCTCTTTCCAGGTCGCCAGATACATTCATTCATACAAGCCTAGCTAGCTAGGAATTCATATTCCAACACATAAAACTAGGCCTCCTTTCTATCATTTCAAAATTCTTAAAAATTTCTAACAAGTACATACTCAGAAATTCTTAAGAATTTTTCTAGGTAAATAGCTTTACTGATTAATTAACCCACATCTTAATTAAAAGTAATATGGTACTTAGGCTGTTTGTTGGGGTAGAAAAGCCCAAAATTCCTCTCTGTTTCTTCCCCAGTTTTGTTGTTCTCATCAAACATAGCAAACACGTAAACCTGTATAGCCTTTCCAGGCCTCTTTGGAGTCCCACTCCCTGCCTTCACATGCTTAATCATATTCTGATAGTAAGTCTCTGCATTCTGCTTTGTAGCTCCCTCATGACCTTGAGACGGCCACCCGGTCTCTGATACCACGATCTCCACCCCGGGTCCGCCTGCCTTCTCGACGGCCGAGTACATAGCATCCAACAAGGCATCAAAAAGGTTCTGGTAACCAGACTGATCACCTGAGGCAGTGAACAGGGCATATGTTTTCTAGCAGTGGAGACTTGTTGGCGGCTAGGAATTGAATGATCGGTTCCATGAACGACTTGACACCACCGTCGAAAGAGCCTTGCGATGGTGGGTATGGGTTGCTTACTAGCGCCGAGTATCTTGCAGTTGAGACCTTGATTTTGTCCTGTTTTATTCAACAAAAAATGTGAATAATAAAACTATATTAATAATCTATCGATTAATATAATTGACATTAAAATTCTAAATAATATTTTTCTCAATAAATATGATCAAATAACTTAGTTACTTCTTCTTTAATTGTATCCTCTTCTCTCTAATTTGATCATACTATTTATGAAAAACTAATTTCCTTTTTGTATATAATTTAATTCTTTTTAATATGTTTTATAGATATAAAGAGGGCCACTACTATTTTTTAGAAAATGGATCAACTCCTCGTATTGGACTAAAAAGGCCCAATACAACCTCAACTGTCCATCTTCTAATACTCTCCAAGTAAATGATTATATTAAGTTGAGCAAATATGGATAATTATATAATTGAATCAAATTTATTTTAAAAAACTAAACTCTACATATGATTTTAAAATATACCATTCATTTTTTTAAAACCAATCAGTCTGTTTGATTTGAATTTTTTGGATTAAATTTTTTAAAAATTGAATTTTTTGGTTTTCGTGTTTTTTGATTTTTAGTGAATATTTTTAACATTTTAAACATTTTTTTTTTACTTTTTAGATGCACTTTACTTAGATGTATCTAAAAAGTAAAAAATTTGTGAAAAAATATTTTTAAAAAATAATAAATACATAAAAATATAAAAAAAATATACTGAATTCTCATATATTTTTTTTTGTATTTTTGGTATTTAGTGAATTTTTAAAAGTTTTTTTCACAATTTTTTTACTTTTTAAGTATATTTATGTTAGGTATGTATAAAAATTTAAAAAAAAATCTTAAAATATTAAAAAAAAAAAAAACACGGAATTAAAATACGGAAAATAAAATAGTAGAATTTTCTAAAAACTAAAACCAAACAACACATTATATATATATATATATATATATATTTTCAGTTTTTGATATGGCGGCAGTTTTTTTGGTCTTTGTACATGATGGCATACTATTACTATATAATAAAAAGGGAGACAGGTATTCAATTGAATACCTTGCCTTTGACGTGTCGCCACTTCTAAGACTTAATTTGATTAGATCGATAAAAAAAAAAAAAAAAAAAAAAAAAAAAACCCTACATGATTGAGACTACATAATTTAGAAATGAGTAATGATATTATGCTAGGAACCGCAAATGATTTACCAAAATTTCCACCAAATCACTCACGTGCCTCTAGCATTTTAGTTTAGAAATAAATGCTTGCCTGTAAACCCAAGGCTGCAATTGCATTGTAGACGTTTTTCATGGCAGGGAGGACAAATTAAACATATGGAGCAGTGTTGGCTTTGTTGGGATCCACTTCGTTTCCAACCGTGATGTACTGGAACTTGATGCCCGGGAAATAGTTTCCAACATTGTTTTGGACCCATTGTGATGTGGCCAAAGGATCAAACCCAAGAGCTGGAAGGTCGGAGTTGGGGACGTCGAGGACTAATTCAATGTTGGAGCCCCTCAGGGCTTCGAAGGTCGATGACTTTGGACCATACATTCTCATCCTTCCAAAGCCGTTGGATTGGTAGAGTTGTACAACTTCTTGATCCGATGGTAAGTTGTCGCCTTTTGTCCATTACAAACTCGTATGGATTGTGCATCTGCAATGGTGACATTTTTGTGAGAAAAAACGCTAAACATACAAAAATTTTGTACAAAATGATGTGGAGTGTTTTTTTTTTTTTGGAATTATGAAATATAATTTTAGGCTTTTTGAGTTTTAATGAATGAATAAAAATGGGTCACCTCAGGTTGTCGACTCAGACTCTATGTTTCCTTTGTTAAAATGGCATAAGCTTATTATATAATTTGTCTCGTTTACTTTTTACATACTATTTCAATATATACATATCTATAATATTGAATGAATCCATTTAGAAAAATTTCATATGTAACAAAAATGTAGACACCTGAATTTAAGATAATTATACCCGATAGCATCCTATTTGAAAAAGAAGAAGAAGAAGAAAATGCTCCAATGTGTATGTGGAGTGAGTGAATGGATCAAATATTCAAGATCAAGAAGGCGTACAAATATGCCCTTAAACAAAAAAATCTAAAAGATGGGTCATTAAACAAAAATATACAAGACATCAATGATGTACAAACAAAAATATTATATACAAATTAGATGTAAAATGATGTAGCAGAATTATAGATTAATCTCTTTAAAACAAAAACAAAAAACCTATTAAGATGCTTATTAATAATTAGATATCCGGACTCTAAAATTAACGGTCAGATAACTGTTCAATGGCCCATTTGAGTTTGACCTTAAATCTTATTCTCAAGTCTTCACCGTTCGGCCGAATCCTTTAGAACCGTTACCAAGGTTCTAAATATCGGCCGGTATGTGCCGTACCGGCCGGTTCGTACCGAAAAATGGGAGTGCTGAGTCGGATACTCATCGGTATACCGGTGAGAAAGAATTTTGCGTCCGTAGCGGCCGATTCCCGATACGTATCGGCCTGAATCCGATACGTGAGAGATATAGCTCCGATACAGTCTGATACGGCTGAAAACGAGCAAAGCACCTGCAAAAATGCTCTGTTTATAATGCTCTGTCTTTTCTAATCCCATGCTCTGATACAGCTCCGATACATTCCCATCCCATGCTCTGTTTATTAGGAGGTGTATGTGGAGTGAGTGAATGGATCAAATATTCAAGATCAAGAAGGCGTACAAATATGCCCTTAAACAAAAAAATCTAAAAGATGGGTCATTAAACAAAAATATACAAGACATCAATGATGTACAAACAAAAATATTATATACAAATTAGATGTAAAATGATGTAGCAGAATTATAGATTAATCTCTTTAAAACAAAAACAAAAAACCTATTAA